CGAGCGGCGGCGGTGTCCGAGCGGCGCGCGAACGTGTCCGTCAGTCCGGTCCTTCAGTCCGTCCCAGCGGCAGTCTGCAGTCCGCAGTCCGCAGTCTGCAGTCTGCAGTCTGCAGTCTGCTGCCGGCGGAAGATCGGTCAGCCCGGCCCGGGCTCATCAGCCGCGGCGACGGCGGCCGATTACCGGAACATCGCCGCGGCCCGTCCCCGAGTCCGGCGGGGCGGGCCGCCGCCCCGGACGCGGCGCCGGCGGCGACGCGCGTGACGTGCGCCTTCAGAGAGCTTCCGCGTTGAGGTCCTGGTGGCGGGCGAGGTGGCGTTCAGTATGGATGCAGCGGAGTGCGGTCGGCGTGCTTCAGAGCGCAGCGCAGGCACGTCCGCCGCGAGCGGGTCGTTCAGATAGATATCAGTGTTCGGCTGCACGTTGACCATGAACAAACATGGTGGTCCGGAATGTCGCCGCCGCCGCCTGGACGGGTACCGGCTCGCTTTTTCTCGCGAAGGCGTGATAGCTTGCAGCCTGTCCGTGGAGGCGAGCAAGTGCAGGATCGAATCTGCGATTCCTGATCGCGCTCGTGACTTGGCGGGCGTCGGTTGTTTGATGTTCGAAGCTTTTAAATGGGGCGCGACGTTTACCGATAGCACACACCGGTCAGGTTTGAACGCACAGGTGCAGCACTGGCGTGTACCGGAGAGTGGGACTCCACTGTCGGCAGTTGATTTTGATGCGCATTGCTCGCGTGTTACGCCACAGACATCACGCTCCCTGTAAAGCCTCTCTACGAACTTTGTATGCGTGTCTCGCACCACTGTTGCACATTCCGAAGATGATTTCTGCCGAGTTATGGCTTCATTAAAGCTTCAGGCGACCCTTCGGCTGTATTATTCATCCCAAGCGGTCTCCTTGGGCGTCTCGCTTTTTGTCGCGGTCTCAATGAAGCGGGCCGGGCCTTTCTCCGCCCAGTGCGGGGCGATGCTGGAGACTATACATCAGTGACTGTGCGTGTAAATACATGCAAACACCGGTGATATATCAGGTGGCGCGTCTTGTTTGTCCACCGGCGAGGCACGCGCAACTGCCGGGCAGCGCCGGGCCAGCCGGGGCGATGTCGGGACGCGACCGCGGCCTGTCGAGGCTGGGGTCGTGCGCTGCGCTCCTGACGGCGGGCAGCGGCGCCGCGCCGGCCGGACCTCCGGCGGCACGACGTGCGACTCCGGCCGGTCGCCCCGACCGGAGGCACAGCCCCAGACACGGCGGGCGAGGTGGACCGGCCGAGCTCAGGCGCCGCCGCATGGCGGCGCGGCTCGATGTGTCCAGTTGGACAGCGTGACCGCTCTGACCGAGGCCCGACAGCGCCCGCCTGCCTTCGGCGCTCGGCCGCTGCCGCCGGGACGGCTGCGAGTCGCGACACAGGTCGTCTGGGACCGGGCTTGCGTCACGGTAGCCGGGAGCGTGGCGCCGGCCGTGGTCGACCTCCGGGGCCGCGGCCTGGGCCCGGCGCGATTGAGACATAACGGCGGCTCGCGGCCTGCCGCCGCCGCCGCGGCCGCCGTCGCGAGCGCCCGGCGGGGCGCGTGTACCGCTGCCGGCCGGGTCGCTCCCGCGGCCCGCACGGCGTGGGTGGGGTGACGGCCGCAGCTGCCGCTGCCGCCCCCGCCCGCGGCCGCGGTTTGGACCTGGCTCGGTCGGCCAAGCCGCTGCGGGCTGGCGCTGTCGGCGATGGCAACCGCAGCGACACAAACACTGCACGAATTTGGACGGTGTTCAACGAGAGAGACAGCTGGAAAGCGGTGGCTTCCGTCGAGCCGGGAGATGTGAACAGGGAAAGGAGTGTTCACCTGCCGCCCAGTGACGTCTGTGAACCTGCTATTTGGCAGACTGTGCTGAGGTGATGGGGTCGGACTGGTCCCTGGACGCCGAGCAGGCCGGTCCGGACGGTGGGCCGGCCGGCGCTGTTCATCCCAGCTGACTGGACCACATGGGGACTCTATATAGCCTCAGCAGCTGAGTGCGTCGTAAAGCCCCAATGGCATGATCCGGCCACAGTTACGGCCGACGCTCGCGGCGCATGACACACGCCGAGCACAAGGTCACATGGCCGTCACGTGCGACGGACCGGTGCGCGAGCCATCGAGGCGAGACGCTTGCGGCGGCGCCTGCCGTCGAAGCGAGGCGCCTGCGGCAGCGCTGTTGGGACTCGGAGGGCTCCGTGTGGACGTCTCTGGAAGGTATTGCCCGTGCCACATCCAGGTCCTGCCCGTCCCCTAGCCGCGCCGACCGTCGGGCCGCACCTCTGCCGTTCGGCGCATCTGCCGGCCGCGCCGTCCCATCTGACCTGGATGCAGCCCCCAATAACCGGGCGTCCGACATCAATAATGCATCGGGACGGCAGGCGGGTGCGATTGCTGCCGTGCCGGGCGTCGCGGAGTCTGATGCCCCGCACTCAGCGGGGCGGGTTTTTGTTGCTCCGGGTCGGGGCAGCGGCGGCCGACGTCGGCACGGCACGGCCCGACCCTGCCCTGACTTCGCATTACCTCGGCCCGCTGCTGTTGTTGTGACCGCGCGGAGTCCATTACGGCGCGACCGCTGCAGACGACGCGGCCGCCGCTGACTGACCCCGGTTGACCTCACGCACCAGCTGACTGACCCCGGGTGACCTCACGCACCAGCTGATGGCGGTGGCGCAACGGAGAGAAAGATGGGGGACACCTGTTGCGGGAGCTGTGCAGTGCATTTGAATGCGCCGGTGCGTTTGAATGCGCGGCTGGAAATATAAGAGACTGACGGCGCGTGTGCCACCGATCTGCTGCGCCAGGCTGGTCTCGCGCGCGGCGCCGGGCCGCGGTCGGCGGCGTCGGCCGGCCGTGCGCTCCGCCGCGACCGGCCGGGCGCCGGGCCTGTTGTCTCATTAACGGTGCGGCTAACATGTCGGCCTGCCGGGCGCCGTGCTCGTCAGCGGCCTTGGGAATGTTCACACGCTCATTCGAGCCGAGGGTCGACGGCCAGCGTCTGTTGCGGCCCGGCCCGGCCGGCGCGGGCCATGGCAAAACTGGGAAACCCGCCGCGGTGCGCGATGTCGAAATGTCGCGATTTTGAACTGGAACTCTGTGTAGCACGATTCTAGTCTACCAAGTCTTGGACTTCTTCGAGAACTCCCTGTTGCCAGAAAACTGACGCACTTTTGCCGACACTGCCGCGGGCGGCTTCGAAACAAAGAGCGCGCAGCCTGACGGGGGTGTCGTGCCGACAAAACCGGGCCCGGCGCCCGGGGACGGGACTCCGAGGCGCCCGGAGACGCGACCGGCGAGGCTCCCCCGCCCGCTGAGTCGGAGACGTTCCGCTGACGGGTCCCGTCCCCGGCCCGCGGCGCGCTGCCAGGATGCACAAACTACCCGCGCGCAAAAACGCCCCGCATACATCACAAACGGGGCGGCAAAAAGCGGCGAGACGGGCTGGAGGCCCCCTCCCCCTCCCCGAGGCGGGCGCCGCACGGCCGGAGCCGCCGCTCCTCCTGCTGCCGCCGCCCCTCCTGCTGCCGCCGCTCCTGCCGACGAGCGTCGGGACCGACGGCTGAGGCACGCGGCGAAATCGAACCCCGAGCGGCGGAATGCCGACCAGCGCGGCGCCGACCTGTTGTTGGCCCACGGACGCCGGTGCCGTGTCGCGCGCCAGCGGCGCTTCCGCAATTAGCGCCGCCCCGTCGACACACGAAAGCCGGCTTCCGACCCGGGGGTCAGGCGGCGTGACCCCTGACCCAGCCGCGGCGCCGACCGGCACAGGTGTTTGAAATGACGCCGAGGCCGTGCCGACGGAAGCCGCGAGAAAGCGGCGTTGTTAATGAGTCGATCCTGTGACCCAGAACGCGCGGGTCGAGGCGGGCCCTGAGGTTGAACCTGCCGTTCAGCCATCCGTCTTTGTCTCGCATGCAGTGCTGAAGGTCCAGTGTCCGATTTGGACGAGCCTAGGGGCCCCGCGGCTTCCGCGTCTGTAGTGTCGTATCTCGGTATCTTCATCTGCGCGGCCGTGGTCCAGGCCGGCGTCTGTCCCGGCGCCTGGGGCGTCTCAAGTCGCGGCACGCCCACACCTCCATGTGGCGTCCCTCTATCCGTCATCTCGCGGGCTCGCCTTGGCGGTCCAGGCGGCGCAAAAACGGGCTCCGCCGCCGGCGCCATCTACCGACGGCTTCCGGTACGGTTCGTGGCGGGCTCGGCGTCGCTGCCTGCCGCCACCGGCCTGCCGGCGGCCGGGTGCCGCTCCCACGGACCAGCGAAGAGAGACGCCAAAATCTCCTGACCTATCCTCCGTTTGTCGTCATTCCTGTCGCGTGGGATGCCCCGACGAAGTGAACTTAAATGGTTGCGTGCCCGCCGTCGGGGTGTTACCCACACCTGCGCGCTTGCGGCGGTCCCGCTGACGCAGAGGCGGTGCTGCTGCCGCCGGCGAGCCGTGTCGAAGCCGTTGTGACCCGACCGGTGGCGGCGGCTGCCCCCGTTCCCGCTTGGCCTCCGCGTTGTCTCCGTGCTGTCCCGGGTGGAGGGCGGAGCGCCGGCGCGCCCCAGCCTGTTCCGTTCTGACCGGCGACTAAACGCACGCCGCGACTGCCGCGTGTTTCATGCTGGGCGGCAGTTTTTGTGATCGGGGGCGACGCAAACCAGAACAACATGGCCCGGCGCGAAGGTCGCTGGCCCGATGCGACACGCCGCGGGGGTGTTGATAACAGGCGGCCCGTGGCCTGCTGAGGCAGCGACGACTGTGCACGCTGGCTGCTGAGCCAATGTGTCAACAAATTGCGACGTGTTCCTGTTCCAGTGCTCGCCCAAGGCGATCGCGCTTGAGCCACGTCCCCGTCTGTGTGCGGAGGGTACTCCCTATCCTTCGCTATTGTTTCAGGGGACGGAGCTGGCGTGTGCGCCTCTGTGTCTGCCGTTTGAGGGTGTCCCTGTAGCTCGTGCTGATTGTGTGGCACCGGTGCTGACGCCTCTCCTTCCTTGCCGTTTCAGTGGGTGGCATGCACCGGCCCAACAAGCCGGCCCAGATTCGTCGCGTCCCTCCGCCCACCGTGCCCGAGAGCAGCGTCAGCACCAGCGGCGGCGGCGCCGGCGTCAGCAGCCACCGGCACAGCGGCAGCAGCTTCAGCTCGGGCTACGGCAGCGTCGGCCAGCCGGACAGCCGCAGCTGCTGCGGGGACGACCACCTGCAGCCGCCGGCCTCGCCCCTGGACGGCCCGCCCAGTCCGGGCAGAGGTACGGCACACTCGCTCGCGGGCGGGTTCGGCCTCCGCGGAGACGCGGCGCTCTTACCCTGCCCGGTCCTGACACAATCCGATACGGCCAGTGTCTCCGTACCGTACCGTGCCGGACACACTCCGGCACGGCCGGTGTCTCCGTACCGTACCGTACCGGACACACTCCGGCACGGCCGGTGTCTCCGTACCGTACCGTACCGGACACACTCCGGCACGGCCAGTGTCTCCGTACCGTACCGTACCGGACACACTCCGGCACGGCCGGTGTCTCCGTACCGTACCGTACCGGACACACTCCGGCACGGCCGGTGCCGGTGTCTCCGTACCGTACCGCCGGCGCGGCGGGTACGGCTCGCTGCCACACTGGGAGACCGGGTCCCAGCCTGGGAGACCGGGTCCCAGCGGTGATGGTATGCGACATACTGGCTGGGAGACCCGGTCCCGATTAAGATACGTCGGACGTGCCTGCGGAAGACAAGGCCCCTGCATGGGTGCTTGTGGCATAGCCATGCACAGGGGAGGGGGGGGGGGGAATCTGGCAGGGGCACAGAATACACTGGGAGTCCGACATACTATTAGCAGATGCGATGTATGCATACTAGGCGTGGGAGATGGGGGATGGGGGAGTAGGGACAGAGATAGGAACAGGCACAAATAAAATGGGCTTGACTGAAGCCGTGAAGAGTTCCTCTTGCTCAACAGAGAAGCATCCGGCAGAGTCTTTTTCAGACCGGTCTGTGATTGGTCGTGGTCCGCACGTTGTGCGTCATTAAATGAAAACGACCAGATAGTTTACTCGTGAAAGAGTTAGTCCCGGTAGTTCCGCAGCATGAACAACATCAACTAAGATCTGTAATTTCATGCATGGTTTCGTTGCTCCCGGCAAGGGCAGCTTTCGTTCTGAAATCTTCTCATGTCAGCTTTGAGGTTGATCTCGATTAGCCGCGGTGTGGCGTTCCATATGCAGTTTAGCATCGGGAACGGTACTAATCCCGACTTCGATTTCGTCCCGGCCCGAAGTTGGCCGCAAATTGCGTGTTTGTACAAGCGAAGTGGGGCATGATTAACTCTGGTGTTCCCGTTTCACGGGTGACGACCCGCGGGCCCGGTCGACATCGAGGGCCTCTCACCCCGCTGGTGACTGACGCGAGGGTCATTCGTCCCCAATGGGTCCCCGCGGACCGATCGCGTGTCCCGCCCTGTCCCGCCGTCCGACCTGCCTCGCCTGTTCCCGGCCAGCACCGCCGAGTCCCACCGTGTGCGGGCCCACGCCGGTACCGCCGGCGGTGGGTCCGGTTAGTCACCGAGCCGCGCCGGAGCGGCCGCGGGCGCCGGCGGCCGGAGGTCACGACCCTGTCACCCCGGTGACTATTACAGGCACCGAAGGTGCTCGTTTGCTCCGGGAAGGGGCCGGCCCGAGCGTGATTAGGCCTCCGGAGGGTGATTGTCTTCCGACGGACGCGCCGGCGACGTGGCCAAGTTTTGAGGAGCGCGTCCGCGGTCCGGCCGTGCTTGCTCGAGCTGCGGAGCGCCGCGCCGCCGGCGGGCCGCCGCGGAGAGCCCAGTCCGGGCTGCGGCGGCGGCGCGGTGCACACCCGTGCCGCCCGCCATGGCCAATTGATTGCCTGTCGTGAATGTCCCCGGTGCTCGTCAGCCCCAGCAGAGGCCTCGCCGCGATCGTTCGCCGCGCAGCGAGGCCCCGACGTCCCGGGCCGCCGTCGGCCGCGCGGGTACCCGGACGCCACGAGCCGCCGTCGGCTGAGCGTGAGCGACTCGAGATCCCGGCCGTCCCGCCACCGCGGGGAACGCCGCTGCAATGCTGCTCATTAACCATCGGAGCGTGGCGGGCTCTCTGTTGCCGGGGCTTCCGGGCGCGGCGGCGCCACTTCAGACGGCCCGCCGCGCGTCGGCGCCGCCGGCCGGCGCGTCCTCTCTAATTAAACTCGACCGCCGGGATCGGCCATGGCGGATGGTGTTCATGCGTCTCATTCCCACTGCGTCGATTCCAGCGTCACGGAATCCGGCGTCACGAACCCTCACGAACGGGCCGCGCTTTGGTAGCTGAGGGAAAGCGCTGACGAAAAAGTTTGACGCGTGCGCTGGTTTGCATGCTTGGGTGGGCTTTGGCTTGCGTGTTGGATTATCTGTAATCTGTACGCCAAGTTACATTGCCGTCCTCGGGATGCTAAATTGAAATTATTCGGTGGAATGGATTTTGAGTCATGCCCATGGGAGATGAATGTAATGTCTTTTGTCCATTTTGGAGAAATTCCTTGCGTCAGTTTGCTCCGGAATTAAAGTTTGTCGCATTGCATCTGTCTAACTCAAGCTGCTATCTGTCATTTGACCGGGCATGTGCATGCTCACCACGTATCAAACCGCGGACGTTGCGCCCACGCGGATGAATCACTGGTGACATCGCTGAAGCGGGCTCCATGACAACTGGGTTGTCCTCATGATAACCAAAGTCCGAGGTGCGCGTTGTCGCGAACTCTATCACTGCCCGGAAGAAGCTGTGCCCTACCGTAAGCCACGCTCCCGTGATGCAGGCAACTCATCGGTCCAGGAGTGGTGGTGATGAGAACGGGCCGAACTCACCACGGAAAGGCAATGATTTCGAACCTCAGGGCCGGCTTTGTTGTGGGTTTGCTCCACTTCCAACCGACAGGTTGTTCCACAAGGCCGTGGCAGCGGCGGCGCGTGCTGGGAGATCATCGCTGGGAGATCACCGCGTCGCCCTGCGAGTGGACGGCGTTGATCTCCGGATGGCACCGACCCGTGCCGTCTTGTGGGTCGGGGATCATGAGTCGTGGGTCGTGGGCCGTAAGTTGTGATTCGGGGAGTCGTGGGTCGTGAGTCACCACCGCCGGTGTGGCCGGTCGGCGCGCGCCGCCGCCTGCCTCTACTGGACCGGTGCCACTGATGCTATCGCGGTGACTACGTGCAGTGGACTGACCGTTTTTGCCACCTTTTATCATACGGAGCTGCGAGAGGGTCCAAACCCGGGCTGAACCCGGCCTGAACCCGGCGGCCTGAACCCAGCCAGGTGCGGATCGGCGACCGGGACCGAACCCGACGCCGACGACCGTCCCAGAATGGGCGTTTGGCGGCCGGGGCCCGACGCCGAACGCTGGCCCACTCTCGAACGGCGGCTCTGGGTGCAGGTGTCAACGGCCCGGTCGGGGTCCGCCGAGATTGGCGCTATCTGTGAAAACAGGCGGCCGGGCGGCGCCAGCTGCCGGTTGCCCGAGCACGCCCCACTTGCGCTCCTCAGCGAGGTGTTTGTTTTTCCGCTGATAGTGATCTGACATACCGCCGGTGGTGGGTAAATGGCACCGGGCAGAGATGACCTGGCTGCCGCAGCCGGCGCGGAATGTCGGCCCGGACGGCGGGCGGGGCTCTCGGGAAGAACGGCCATCAGCCGGCTGCAGGAAATGTTCGTTGTGATCTTGCTGGCCTTGGCAGACCTACCGTTCGTTCCTTACGTGACCGGACGGCGTTCGTTGCATCATATCTTTGCTAAATCGTGATGTCTTGGGAACTGCTTCGTTTGATTAAGAAAAGTCTGGGACGCTGGCAACCCGGTGTGGTACGTCCGATGCTAGCGTAGGTTGCTGCGACTGTCATCCCCCGGCGGTGGAGACGGAGGACGGTCCCGGAAGAGACCATGGCACCCGTGTGCGCCGTAAAAACCTGTTTGGGCGTCAGGCCTTGGCTGGCTTTTGTTCCTGGCGCCGTTCTCCTCGCGGATGGGGGCGTGGCCGCCGTTTCCATCCGTGATCGGAGGCAATCTGATGTCGCCATCAGCGCGCTCCGCTGGCAAACACGGCCGTCGGGGCGGCGCAACGACTACGCCCTGCTCGGCGCCGAAGCTGGCGGCGGCGGCGGCGGCGCACACAGCAATCGGCCCGCGATCAGGCCCGAAAAACTCTCCGCCAAGGTCCGCGCCCGGGTCTTCCTCGTTCAGAGCCGGTTGGGTGGCGGTCCGGCGCCCGCGGCCTGACGCTCGCTGAGGGGCGGCCTTCGCCGCTCACCACTACCCGATGTTGACGGGGCGTTTGACGCTGTTGGGGTCGCGTACCCGGGCCACGCCCGCGGCCATGTGTACTCTCTAGAGCGTGTCCACTTCGGCGCAGGAGAGAGCCGATGATGGCCTGTTGTAAACGCGTCGCGGAGCGCAGGCGGCACGCCGCATCCTGGCCATTCCGCCCCGGGTGCTGCAGGGCAGTGTCGTTGGCCCGCTATTCTCTCGGCCTTCCTGTGACCAGCCGAAGCGGCATTGGCAGACTGATGAGGATGCGGCGTGAGGTATCCCCGCGTGAATGGATCGTGATTAAGTCCGGCACGCGCTGTGTCGGGCAGATGCGTGATCGCTCCGAGTTTTGCGCCACCGGCGGTGGCGGCGGCGGCGGCAGCCGGCTTCTGATGATTACGTGCCCTGCGTGACCGAATGAGGAAAGGCATTACGCGCTTTCACTGGCCTGGCCGACCGAAGACCTCGTCCCAAATGAGCTCGAACATGCCACCGGCAGCAAATGAAGCCAGCTGGCATCGCTGCGTCGTCTTTGAATTCCTGCAAATGTCGGAATGGAATGAATGAGAAACAAATCAGTGTCCTCATCAATTCTGGTTCGGCCCACCGCTCGTACCCTTTTGCTTTCCTGAGGTCGGCTTTGTGCCGCATTTCAACGCAGCTGGTTTGTCCGTTGTTCAAACTAGTTGGGCGATTAGGTTTTCGTGATACTACTGACATTCCGTTTCTTTCAAATGTCCAGTTGGCTGTGATTTACACCCCAGTGTAGCTGCTTAAGCTCAGAAAAGACTGGCGGCTTCGTGCCGTCTTAGGGTGGACACCTGCTTTGTCTTCCGTGATGGGACGTAAAGTGGCCATGGCTGTCACTTCAGCGATGTTTTGTATGCGTTGCAGAAATTTATGTAGCATATATCTACATGCATACCTATATGTATGTATGTATGTATATATATATATATATATATATAACAGAAATGTATGTAGGCTTCGTAAAGCCACGATGTCAGAAATGTATATAGCAAATCATCAATCGAATTGCGCCCTGAAGCCGTGCAGCACCTGCTGGCTGCTTGCTGACGTCACTCGGTGATCGGTGATCGGTGATGGGCGATCAGTGATCGGCGATCGGCGATCGATGATCAGTGATCTGTGTCGGTGATCGGTGAGTGTCGACGGCACCGTCGTCAGCGTAGCTCAGTGCGGACGTCGGCACCCAGAGCTGCAGGCAGCTGTCGCCGGCTGTCGCCAGCCGTCCCAGCGCTGGGTACGGCTCTGGTAGTCGCCGGCGGGGCCCGATCGCCCCGCGGTCTGGGCGCTGTTCAAGGCTGCCGGACCGGCCGGCCGACACCGGCGCACCTGGCCGCCGCGTACCGTAAGCCGCTGTTTGTGCCGAACAATGAAGCGCGTCCGGAGTGTGCGGGGGGAGGGGAGGGGGCGCGTGCGGGGTCACCGACCGGTGCCCCGCGCTCCCGGCCGGCCGGCAGCCCGTGCCGGCTGTCGGGAGGCGGGCACGCGCTCTGTTTATGTTTGCTCCCCTGGAGGGTGAGCTGCCGAGGTGTAAACACTTGACGGACGGGCTGGAACGCCGGCCGAGGTGATGTCGCGGGATCTCCGGCCAGTAATCCGGCTAACACCGACCGGCTTCGACCGACGCCGGCCGACAAAGACCGACACGGACCGGTCGGAACGACACCGGCCCGATGTCGCCGCGGTGCCGACGGCGGTCGGACCCTCCCGCCGCCCGGCCCGGCTTGCCAATGGCAGGTGTGGCTGGGACGGCGGTGACAGAACCTTTCGCGAGCGCTGCACGCGGCTGAACACGTGTTCGGTGGCACAGGCCGCCCGGTCCGCGAGCGGGGGCGGCTCTGTGCCATCGCCGCGGCCACTCTGCGGTCCAGACCGTGCCGTTGTCTGTGGTTTGTAATTCGCATGTCAGTTAGGTGTTAGATCGCTCATGAGCGCGCTGAATTAATGGGCTGACTAGCGTTGTAACTCTTCGCGCGGGGCGATGCACCCTTCTGATGCAATTACGCAGGCCCTCGTGCCACTCATCGCGGCGAGGAAAACCTCAAACGCGGGCGGGCGAACTGGACAAACGGCCGGCGTCCTTCACGTTGTAACTGGAAATGGCGTCGACAGGTGCTACGACGCCGTCACATAACGTGTTGTGTGATTTACGACGAATTTGCCCATATTCGCGTTTCAGTGAAGAAGATTTATGTATTATGGGTGACCATGTAGGGTTGCTCCGGTGTGCTGGAAACGTGATGTTGAGTAGTTTTGTTTGGTGCGAATGATGACAAGATGTGCCGTGGGACGATTGGGTGGCTATGAACTGGTAACTGGTAACTGGAATGTTTAACCACCATTAATAACGGATAGTTGTTTTGCGGTCGCCTGTGGCACGACAGTGTCTTATATGGACATAAGCCTTCGTCAAGGTGTGTGCCGACCACACGCCGTGCCAACATATTAGCATCCTGCACAATGTAAAACTGAATCACAGACATACCCCGTACAGCACCGTATTGGCATGGCCAGCTTTCACTCCTGTTTAGGCTGGTGTGGTGTTTCCCGGCAGTGAGAAGTGAAGCCGAGCCGTTTGTCTGATGAGTCGCGCTGTTTTGTGTTGCAGAGTCGGCAGAGAGCGCCATGTACACGGGCTCGAACCGCCTGTCGACGGGCTCCTCGGGGCACAGCCCTGGACCCCAGGCCGGCTACAACGCCTTCTCCTTCCCCACGCCCCAGGTGAGTACGGCGCCGGAGACGGGAGTCGGAGCCGGAGCCGGAGCCGGAGCCGGAGCCGGAGCCGGAGCCGGAGCCGGAGCCGGGCCGGGAGACTGATTAGTGTTGGGGGGAGGGGGAGGGGGGGGGGGCACAAGTTTGTGGCTTGACAGCATAACCATGGCGACGTATGGTAGCAGCTGCGTAACCATGGCGACAGCGGTGCAGCTCTCGCTCAGGAGTTCAGGACGCCCTGGCCTGCTGTGTCGAACTGGCTGCTGTGTCTGGCAACCGGAGTTTTTTGGAACATTTGGCAGCCCTCTCCCCGAGAGTCGCGGCCGCGCTGCTCGCCGGCACCCCGGCGGCCGCGTGCGCCCGCGCCGTTGCGACACCGCGCCGCAAATGTCGCACGTCGCTCAGAAACGGCCACGTCAGCTTGGGCTGTGCAATGTGCTCTGCGCGTTTGCCGCCTCACGTACCTGCGCTGATGCTTTGTTTCGAAATGCGGCCCGCGTGCGAGCAGTGGAATGAATTAGTCTGATAGACGGTCTAATCGCTGACATCGCTGCAACCAAAGCCGACTGCATCGCCCGTCAGCTACAGCGCTTCGTGGAGACCGCTCCGCCCTCCATTCCGTTCTGTTCTGTTCTGTTCTGACCGGGCGGGCTGAGCAGAAGCTCGTGCACGCTTGAGCCGAACGGCTTGTCAAGCCAATGAATTGGCTTCAGTTGCGCACCGCGGCTCCGAAATAAGCCCATTCTTCTGGAGCTGCCGGCTCGATGAAAGGAAGCGGGCCGGCGGGGCGGGGCGGGGCCGACGGCTGGCCTGGTCTCCTCGGCAGACCAACGGAGCGGTGCCGGCGGAGCGGGGTCGGCGGCTGGCCCGGTCTCCTCGGCAGACCATCGGAGCGGTGCCGGCGGGGCGGGGCGGGGTCGGCGGCTGGCCTGGTCTCCTCGGCAGACCATCGGAGCGGTGCCGGCGGAGCGGGGTCGGCGGCTGGCCCGGTCCCTTCGGCAGACCAACGGAGCGGTGCTGGCGGGGCGGGCCGGCGGCTGGCCCGGTCTCCTCGGCAGACCAACGGAGCGGTGCCGGCGGGTGCGGTAGCCGTGTCGCGCGCTGACGGCGCTCAGCGGCACGTCTTGGCGGGCGGAACGCCGGCAGTCGCGGCAGCGGTCGCTCGCGGCGCGTGAAGGTCGCTTTTTGTTCGCGTTGGCCACGCACGAACGCCCCCACGGCGTGCGGCGGCTGGCGGGCGGCGGTCTGTCATCGAGCCGTGCAATTGAAAACAAACGAGGCGCCTCGGCTGCGTCGGGACCTGTCGGCGGCGCGCGTCGGCGGCGAAGGGGGGGGGGGGTCGCTGCCGCCCGCGGCCACTCTTCCGGCCAGTGAGGGGGGGGGAGGGGCCGACGGAGTGACGGCGGGAAAGGGGGGGGGGGTCCGGTGGAGCAGGCTCGCGACTGGTGAGGACCTGGCAGAGAACGTCTGTGCCGGTCCGTAGCTATGCCGGTCTATGCCGGTGCCGGTCCACGTCGGCTATGTCGCTCCTTGTACTCGCCGCTACGTACCTACCGGACTGATTGAGGAGTCTGCGACCCCCGACATGCCTCTTAATGTCACTGGTGTCCTGGCGTCCGCGATCAGACGTCGCTAGTCTCGGACCTCGGTGATGCTGCGTGCCCCCGTCCCCTGGCTCTCCCTGTAGCAGGGGACCTGCTCGCTCGCGCTGCGTAGCGACCCGCGCGAGACGGAAGGGGCGCGGAGCTTATTTGTGCAACCGCTTTGTGTAACCGCCGCTACCGTCGGTTGGACCTGCCCCGGCGGGAGAAAGACCGCCAACGTGGACCGCTGATCTGTTTGTTGAATCTCCCGACCGGTACGGCTCTTGCTGCGGCGGCTCTTTGTGTTACCGCTGCATGTCTTGCGTCACTCGGAAGAACAGCCTTTCTCCAATTATTGTGTTTTGGTCACGCCCCGTTTCTCAAGGTGATCCGTCCCTAGACATGTGTTCTGGGCGTCATCGTCCCACTCGGCCATCGCAGGCACGTACAGCGTGCGTGCTTTCAAAAGCCCGCTGCGCGTGGTTTCTCTCCCATTGTTGGCTGTTGGGATGTTGTCCGACGTCTTGTGGCATACCGCTGGAAAGCCGGAATGAACGCCTGAATATGTGAGAGCGCCGCATTTTCCAGCCCAGTTTGGCTGGAGCAGGGAAATTTTGTTGGCGGGACGCTGGCGTGTGAGGGAGATGGGAGATGGGAGATGGAAGATGGGCGCTGCTACTCAGGCCACGCAGAGATCCTGGGGAGGGGGGGAGGAAGAGTCATGTTCTCTAGAGAAGAGCAGCCTGACATTCTTAATGCGTGCGCTAGGCATTCCGTCTACTCTGGCGTCCCGTTGGTGTAGTGAGGGATCGGTGACCTGCGAGGGTCGCGGCCTGTCGATGATCCCTGTGGCCGTGCTGACCTGGCGGGGGGTCGGTAGCCTGCGAGAGTCGCGGACTGTCGGTGACCCCTGTTACCGTGCTGACCTGGTGAGGGGACGGGAACCTGCGAAGGATCGCGTACCGTCGGTGACCCCTGTGGCCGGGCTGACCTGGTGAGGGGACGAGAACTTGCAAAGGTCGCGTCCCGTCGGTGACCCCTGTGACAGGGCTGACCTGGTCCCGGTCCGTTGCAGGCGCCGCGGGCCGTGGCCTCGCCCGGCGGTCCGGCCGTCTCCGGCTCCGGCAAAGAGTACGTGCCGCACTTCCACAACCACCTGTACCAGCACCAGCAGAGCGATGACCAGGGCATCGACGTCCAGGTGAGAGGTGCCATCCTCCCCCCCCCCCCCTCCCTGAGTGGTCTGTGATGACGCCGTGGGTCAGCGGGTCAGGTCAGAGGGGTCGGCGATCCGACGAGAGTGTCGGTGCTCTCGTCTGCAGAGGAAGATGTGGTGTCGAGATCCTGCTGTCCCGGACAGCTTCTGAACCAAGACGCTGCTACTTCATTAGCGCGTGTTGCCGGTCGCAGGATCGTTGTGCTCCAGCGGATCGAGCATCCGCGTTCAGCCTGGGGCCGAAATGTGGCGCATGTCGCCGCTGAGATCGGCAGAAAAGCGCTGCAATTGTCACGCTGACGAGCTCTGAGAAGAACCTGAACAAACACTTCAGTCGTCAATACCTTCCCTCTGTCCCATAAGCACACCGGCCGGAAAATTGCGTCGTTTGTTGACTGGCTGCATTCCGGTCCGCGGTTCTGCGGTGCGGTCCGCTGTTCTGTTGTTCGGGCCGGCGCCCGCTGTCGTCGCCGTTTGGGTCGACGATTGGCTGCGGCCTCCATCTGCTGCAACGGTGGGCCGTCATTTGGGCCGTGAAATTTCAGCCGGTGGTGGCTTCTTACGCCTCACGGGCGCCGCCGACTCAGTTCCCCCGCTGTCAGCTGGTGATGCCAGAGGTTGGCGATCCGTTGTCAGGAATATTGTCAGTCGATGCCGCGGTCTGCCACGGCAGAGGTTGACGAGGGCTTAGCTGGCTTCTGAGACTTGCTCTGTCCTCTACCTCTGTTCTCTGCCCTCTGTCTCTGTCCCCTGTTCTCTCTCCTCTGTCCTCTGTCCTGTACCTCTGTTCTCTGTCCTCTGTCCTCTGCCCCCTGTCCCCTGTCCCCTATCCTCCGTCCTCTGTCCTCTGTCCTCTGTCCTTTTTTCTCTGTCTCCTGTCCTCCACCTCTGTCCTCTGTCCTCTGTCTCCTGTCCTCCGCCGAACTCAGCGTATTGGGGTTTTCTTGATTGCTTCAACGCACTCTTTGAACCGGTGTCTTTTCTCGGTTTGCGTTATCAGCATCGCTTAAATCCACCATGAGTTTATTTGCTTTCCGTGGATGGGGACACCTTGCTTCGGCAGTTACTTCTGCGAGGACTGCGATGCCTTCACGCTTGGTGCATCAGTCGCGCACTACCCATGCGCTGCCGGTCCACGATTGTCAGCTGACAGGAACGTGCTCCGTCCGACAACACCTGGCGTTTCTGTATGTACATTCCCCTCCGGGAGATATGTCTCCAGTTCTCATGTGTTGGGGAAGGACGCACAGGTGCTGGTGGCGCGTCCTCGGCCCCTCTGCCGTCCGGTCAGGAGGGACGCAGCGTGACCACAAGACACCGCCCAGGGCCCCAACTCGGATCGAACCGGACGAGTCGGCGGCGACCGTTTGAAGCTCACAATGGACTCTGGCCGCCTCTTTGTGCCCGCCGCTGACCGTGGCCAAACAGCTGGCTCCGCCTGCGCAGCTGGTCGGCTGGGAGGAGGCGGCAGTGATTCGACGAATTCGAAGGTGGCGTGCCGTCTGGGGGGACGAGAGGCCCTCCACGCCCGCCGCACCTTGGCTCGCGCTGAGGGGCTGCAGCGCTGTCGGACCGGTATTCCGACTTCGGCGATGCAGACAATTCTGCATCATCCCCAACGATCTTTTTTGTGCGGATCCTTACTGCGCAGCCTTCCTAGAATTGTGGCGTTGGCTCAGCGAATGCCCGGCGCCCGGATGCGGCGGTCTGTGGGCGGGGTGTGCCGTCGAGGGACGGCCTCGCCCGGACCGCGCTCCGACCGTCCAGCGGCGCCGCCTGTCGGCCGGCTTCCGTGCGCTCACAGCCCGTGCTGAGCGGCTCTCGTGTCCGGCGAGGCCTCGCGCGCGCACGGCAGGCCGTTCTCAGTAGCGCCGTGCGTGTGCGGCAGCGACGGGCAGTCCAGCCCGCGGGCCGCCGCCGCCGCGGAGGTCCGAGCCGCCGCGAGCAGGCCGCGCTGGACTACGTGGGCCGCGGCGGCCGGTGTCCGGGAAGGTGAGCCCGGCTGGCCGGGTGGTGACATCACGCGGTCCGGCCGGCGTTCCCTGTATCGCGCCCTGCTCACGTCACGGGACCGCGCCGCCCGGTGCCGCCCCCGCGCTCCGCGGTCGGGGGCGCGGCAGGGACAGGTGGGCGGGCCGGGCCGCCACTGGTCAGTGTTGCATCGTTGTCAGCAGCGCCGCAGCAGCAGGGATAGGTTTGTTTCCTTCGCTGGCCAGCGCTGTGCGATGCTGTTTCGGGGCTGGTGCCAGCCGGGCCAGGTGTGCCTCGGGTTCCCACGCCCCCGCGTCGGCGGCGTCGGCCGAGGTGCCGCCCAGCGGCGGTCCGCACTGTGCCGGGGGGGGGGGAAGGGGGGGGGGGTCCGCCGCCGCCCCGGGGGCAGCCCAGCCCGACCGAGGACCTCGGGTCATCGCCTGACCCGGCCGCTGTCTCCGGTCGGTCGGAGACGCACCCCCGGGCTAAAGTGACCCGGTACCGGCCTGGCGTCTGTGTCCGGGTGACACCGACACGACCCGCCGCAGGCTAGGCCTCCGCCCGAAGGGCGGGGGCCCCGCACCGCCTCACTCCGACATCGCCAACTGGTCAGCCAGGATGCCTCACCACCGCCGATACCATCGGCTCTAGGCTGTTCCGTGCCCGTTACGCCGGTGATTAGCCGCTTTTGGCGCTGGAAGGCTGTGTACAATGTCGTCCGCGCAGTAACGGCTTCCCAAATGACCGTCGGAATGTGGTCGCCTTCTTGACGGGCGACCCAGCGCGGCTCACGGACGGCGAGATATTCGAATCAGTAGCGTGTCGCCAGCCGCTGGGATACCAAAGTGATGATCACGTCTGATGATTGGTCGGCGTATCCAATTTCCCGAATGCCGGCGATATGAAGCGAGTATCCACATTATGTGAAATCTTGACATGCTGGGATGATGAATTAGTCTGAAGCGTATTGGCCAGCAGCCTTTCACGACGTCGGCGGGTCGGAACTCGTCCGGTCCTGAGTGGTTTCGGCTGTCGTCTGTCGCCACCGATTCTCTCCGGGCGCACGTGAGGCGGGTCACGCTGTCGCCGGGCCCCGCCGCGACCGCACGTGACCGGACTGGGTGGCCGCCGCCGCCGCCGTCGCCGTCGTTTGGTGACCAGTTCGCGGCGGCAGTGTGCTCGTTCGCCGCCGGTGACGCGGTGTCAGCCCGCATGAAGCGAGCGCTCCTCGGCCCAGCCGAGCGTGGCCAGCGTGACCGGCCAGGTGGAAGTGAGCCCACCTGGTCGGTAATCCGGGCCGTGTTGTGAGACGCGCGGACGTGGTGCCGGAGCTGGCGTGTCGGCGGAGGCTGCTCGTGCCAGGATGCGGCCGCGCGCCCGGCAACAGCGGGCGGCAGGGAAATCACGGCCGTGGATTTAGGGCCCGTTTGAGTGTTATGGCGTGCAGGGATAGAGGTGGGAAAGTGGTGTTGCGGCGTCTCGCTGTTGTGGTCTGTCCCGCGTGACTGCTTGTGCTGGCCGTCCTGACCTGACTTGACCTGACCTGACCTGTTGATCCTGCTGCAGAGTCCGGGGCGGGACTCGCCGTCCAGCGCCGGCAGCTCCACCAGCAGCTTCGGCTGCCGCAACAGCACATCCAGCCTGGACTCGGGTCGTGCCTCGTCCGCCTACGAGAGCAAGGCCTCGCACCCGCCCAGCCTGAACAGGTGCGACAGCAGCGCCGCCGCCGCGCCGACTGCAGCGCCGCGTGGCGGTCCGACCGGGAACTGACGTATGATAGCTCGCAGATGAGTGCCTGTATGGTTTGAGTTTTCTTGGCTAGGATACCTCATGCGAAGTCGCATAATTGTTCTTACGTGGAATATCCTGAAATGGCTGCTTTATATTGGTGTGCATCTAAGCTTTACGCTTGAATTAATGTGAATGTTATGAATATATGTAGATGGCCAACCAGGTCAGATGGTTTTCATTGCAAATGTGGAGCTTCCACGTTACTTTCTCATGTTCAGTTATTTTCTATGTTTGTATACAATATAGAAGGATAAGAAGTAATGTAAATATGTTTTATAATGCGTACAATGTAGCGTATATTTATGTGAATTACCACTTTAAATAGCACTACGCACATTCTTACGCTGCATTTTCTCGGAAGTTCGAAAAAGGAGTCTGCCTGTTTTGTATGGGAAGCGTGCTCTGACGGTCGAGGTCGGCCGCGTTCGGCAGGTTGTCAGGCCAGTCGTACGAGTCCAGCACGAGCTACCGCCAGTCGTACCACAGCAGCAGCTCCAGCCTGGGCTCGCTGGAGAAGGACGACGTCATCTCCCACCTGAACGTCGGCCAGATGCTCGCCGAGGGCATGAAGGTGAGTGCCGTGTCCGGTGCAGGAGCTGCCATGTCTGTGGTGGGAGCTGTCGTGCCCGGGGCAGGAGCTGCCATGTCTGTGGTGGGAGCTGTCGTGTCCGGGGCAGGAGCTGCCATGTCTGTGGCGGGAACTGTCGTGTCCGAGGCGGAAACTGTCGTGTCCGGGAACACGGATGGAATCAATGGATAGATCGCGCCACACTCCCGGTAATTAATTGTGGTTCCGCATTGTTCGAGGGCTTATTTGACTCGAACTATGGCGAAGTTCTGTGGATGCGTTCTGTGCTGAAAGCAAGTGGCTTAGTTTAAGAAAGTGATCGGGGTCATGCATTCTGCGTGGAGACATATCTGCGACAGCAAAGTGGCCACGCCCATCGACCAATAGGGTCGTCGATGTCGATGTCGATGAGCACGTCCCTAGCCGGCCTGATCCCAGATCAGTCCTCCTCCCTCGGCGCCCCGTCGGGGCCGTCTCTCCCCCCCCCCCCCCCTGGACGCTGTGGGCGGACCCGCCGCTGCCGCGCCGGCCCGGGGCGGGCACGACATCTGTCAGATGGCGACAGCCGGCGGCGGCCGGGGGCGGTCCGGACAGGGCCGTCGCCGACGAGCTGGCCGGCCGGCCGGGCGGGGTGCGGGTCAGCCTCGCTGCCCGGCCCGCCGTCGGACACCCGGCGACCTCTCCTTGGGGAGTAGTGATACGGCAGGGAGGCAAAGGCCCGTATGCACCGGGTGAACGCGGCCGGGCGTCTCTGCCGCTCACAAGTCACTCCCGAGTCACGAACCTGCTGCTCTCTGGGTCTGTCCAAACTGGTGGAGCTCGGGGCAAAGGCCGCGCTACGGCAGGGGCAAAGACCGCGCCCACGTCTTCCGGATAAACGCGGCCGGGCGTCTCTGCCGCTCACAAAGCCGTCTGAGTCACGAACCTGCTGAGTCTCCGAGTGTGTCTGAGCTGGTGGAGCTCGGAGTCGGAGCTGAAGCGCTTCTTATTCCAAAGTTAACGTCGCGTCAGAGGCCCTGATGTTGGACCCCAGCGCTGCGCAGGGACTTTGAGAGCGTACAGTGGGCCGCCCGAGCCGGCGCTCCGCCCCCTGCTGATGCCCGTCCCGCCGTCAGGGGGAGGGGAGGGGGGGCGGGGACCGCGGGGACCTGACGGGGCCCGCCGCCGCCGGATTATACCTCTGCAGTGCGACGTGGGGCGCTGCCGGATCCGTCTGCCCTGTTTATTCCGGGTCACGTCACGGCCGGCCCGTCCCCAGCCGGCCAGCCCTGCTGGAGCTGCGGGCCGGCCCGTCCCCAGCCGCGCGCCGAACTCAGGGCGTCCGCTCCCGCCCGAGTTCTGCGGATTGGGGATGTGTAGGGGGGGGGGGGGGGGCACGCAGAACTCGGGTCAAAGTTCGGCGGTGGGGGCTGGGGGCAGTCTGCGCGCAGCCTTTCCACGAAGTTCGGCTGATGCGGAGCTGGGAAAAATGCTGGGAAACGCGTCCCATGTGTGACCCACCTCTCTTAACTGTAAGGGGCACCAAAACGTGGGATTGAGTGACGCCGGTATTAATAATGACAAGCGTGCATTAGCTGAACCATTTGTTATTCCGAAACTGGTCCCAGGAAGGCCCTGATGACCTATGCGATCGTGGACAGTGGCCATTCGTGCAATAATGGAAGCCGTCCAAACCGTATGTCGAAAGACTGAACGCTTGTGGCGCACCAAGTGGATGTCGTTTAAAGCAAGGTCAATCCGTATTTTACACCAGAGCAGTGCATTAGTTGTCCGCCGCGTAAGAGGCAGCACTTCATCACTATCCAGCGAACTTGACATGCACCCCATTTGAATGAAGGGAGCGGGCCGGCTCCGCGTCTGGACAGGCTCTGGCTGGCCGCGTGCGGACGAGCTCCAGGAGCGGGCGGCGAGGTCGGGGCCGGCCGGACGTAAACACTCAAGTCTGTTTGGCCGCCGCCCTGACCCGGTTTATGCAGCGCGCCCCGTGCGGGGCGGCATCCCTGCATCTCATGCCGCGACCGGAAAGCCGTGGGCGCGGTCTGGTCACCTCTCGCCGTCCCGCGACGGTGAGATGGCGCGGTGCCGGCCGCCGCGCCGGCTGGCCGGCCGGGGTGCTGTCGCGGCGGAGCTCCACCAGGGGCGACTCCGAAGGCGTGCCGCCTGTCACTTGAGAAGTCGATGAGATAGCTGCATGGTCTGCTGCATCGGGCATCTGCGGACGCTACCAGACACGTGTTGCTTTGACGGAAGCGCTCCGCGGGTAGGTCCTGGGGGGCAAATGGAACGCGCGGCGGGGGCTTGTGTTGACACGGTCAATATTGCGTTATGACAGCGTCATGAAATACGCCAAGATACCCACACTAATTGTAGGAGCAGGTATGTTGCAGCCGGAACGAAAGCTCGCACGTATCGCACGCTGGCACCCGCACAATCGTACCCACAACTGTACGATTGTGGCGTAGACGAAGTGGGCCGGACCGGGGCAGCTTCCGGTGCCCGGGGAGCCTCACGATCCTCTGACCAGGACGTCCAGGGGGCGCTGCGGAGCGCCCGTCAGCCCCTCGCCGGCGAGGCGAGGGGACCGGTGGAGCGGCCGTCCTTCGCGGCGAGAGTCGATCCGACGCCAGCCATGCCGTCAGGATGACACTGGCATGATGGTGCCATGATGATGATGACACTGACATTGCTCCGCGAGGAATCGATCACCATAACCGTTTTCAAAATGGAAAAATCTTCCGCGCCAGTGGGAGTCGTTCCCGAGGGCGGCGCCGGGTGCCGCCGGGTGTGGCGGCGTCTGGGACTCCTGCAGCCGGTCCGGTCCGCCGGTCCGGTCCGCCGGCCGGTCCGCCGGCCCGCTCGGACGCCCGCGCCGACGACCTCTCAACTCTGGTGACGTGCGAGGTGGCGCGGCCCGTCCCGGATGCGGCGGCACGCGGCACTGTCCGCCTGTCCGCCGCCTGCTGAGAAACGCCCTCGCTCTGCGGCTACCTGCGTCCTGTACTGAGAAACGCCCCGCCGGGGGAGGAGGCGTCGGCGGTGAGCTGCGTCGGGGGACGCCGCAGTGGACCGGCGCGCCGGCCTCAAGTATCGCCGTGGCCGTCGGCTCACATTCAGGCGACGTCGCCACCAACGCCGCCACGGCCACGGTCGCACGCTCCTGGTGCGGTGATCGCGGCGCGAGCAGGGCGGCGGACGCGGTCGGGGCCGCCGCGCTCTGGCCCGACGCTCCGGCCGGCCGGGCGCGTTGGGACGCTCCTCGGCCGGCGTGAGCCGGCCGAGAGGAGCGTGTCGCGGATGGCCGGCGCCTCCGCAGCCGCCGTCCATCGCCGCGGGAGAGCAGGGGCACCGGCGCCGGCGAGCGCTCGGCAGCGGTCAACACCGCAGCGACGTTTAATGGTTGTCCGGCCGCAGTCGGCTGGACCAGCAGCCGGTGCCAGAGGGTGGCATGGTAGCCTCAGTGCAGTCGCCGTTCTCCGGGAGGATGAATGGCTGGTCTCGAGTGTGCTGCCGCCGGGTCAGCGACCTCCGAAGCTGTGGCTTGGACCGCCGCCGGCCCAGCTGCCGTAACGCGGCAGCTGCCATCAACACCCGTGCTGTGGCACTTGCGACGGCCGACTGTCTCTCCTTTCCCGACAGCTGGGTGCACTGTAAGTTATATGGCTATCTCGACGCGCAACAAATTACTGCATTAGCGTCGTAATCTTCTGGCTCGTCGATACCCCGTCCCTGTATTGATGGCCCAGTGCTGGCCCTGGATGGCTGAGCTTCGGGCTCTGGTACCGGCCAGCCGTGGCAGCTGATGAACATTCAGTGGAGACAATTACGTGATGAATGCTTTTGTGATCAGGAAGTAATGGTGCTAGTGCTCTTACGCATAGCCGGTAATTTTTATATTTTGTTTCTGCCTTTTCTTGCATCCCTTGCTACGAGCAAGGGATGTAAGGAATCTTGGAATTGGCATTCGTGCCTTTCCGGATGCGGCTTTGTAGCATTAAATTTCTATAATTTGTACCGGTGTCTTTTCTGAGTGATGTTTTTATCGTTTAAGTCGGTATTTTATTATATTTCTTTTTTTTCATCCACGCGAGCACGTTCGTGCTATTGTTACGGACGAGCTCGTGCTCCGGTCGAAGCCCCTGAGCCGGACCCGTGCCGCCGCCGAGCCTGGCCGTATTCCTGTCGCCTCAGCTCGGGCTCGTGCCTCACGCCGCCGTCAGCAGCACGCCGCGACGCGCTGCCGGCGTCTAATGCGTCATTAATGGGCTGATTGGAGCCGGCTGTCGGCGCCGCCGGGCAGCCCCGGCGCGGGCTCCGTTCGTCTCTCGCTGCCGGTGACGGCGTGACAGCTCTGGCCGCCGCGGCTCCGGATCAGCGGACGGGGCTGTCCAGCGGTGGACGGTTGTGGTGCGCTCTGTGTTTGTGCATGGTGAGCATCGTGAGCTCTGGCAGGTGTGTTGGCGCTGATCGCCGCCGCTGGTCGCTGACCTGGCCGTGGTTGCCACCGGTGGATGACACATTCGAGGTCATCAGCGTCTACTGACCTATCTGAGGTCACCTGTCGGTCGCTGTCCAGGGTCATCAGCGGTCACTGACCCGTCCTAAGTCACCAGCCAAGGGGCGCAAAATGACCACTGCAGTCGGCGCGCCGGCAACCCCCAACAAACAACAAATCCACCAGCCTGTCCGTCCGCTCCCTGTCACCGCCCCCTCGCCGGACCGGCGTCGGCGGCCGGGCCAGGACGGTGACCTCGGTGGGCGGCCGGCGGCGCCGTTTGAGGCCGCCCCGGCGGTTCCGGGAAGTGTGAAGTGTGCCGGGCGGCCCGGTGCGCGCGCCGCGCCGCATCGATCGGCCCCGGGCGCCACCGCGGTGACCCGACCGGTGGCACAAAGGGCCGCGCCGCCCAATCAATGTCATTTTGTGTATGAATGAGGTCGTCAGGGCAGGAGTCGGACGCGGGGGCCTGGCGGGGGGCGCGGCCCGCCGGCCGGGTCAGAGGACGCGC